CAGCATCCATTTGCTGTAGACTTGAAATGGAGTCAGTTCTGTTCTGAGCCTCTGCTTCCATTGAAATGGAGCGGTGGTGGCGCACACCCTTAATCCCAGTGCTCTGGAGGCAGAGGCATTCAGATCCATGAGTTCAAGGCCAGCCTGGTCTATGTAGAGAGTTCCAGGGCAGCTGAGGCTATACAGAAAAACCATGACTGGAAAAAAAACCAACCAAACAAACAAAAAAACCCCAAACCAAACCAAATCTTGGGTCTCCCATTTGTCACTTCTCACTTTCACAGCTGTTGACAGCCCAAAAGGTAATTCTTTTTCAAGTTTTATTGTAAAATCCTCAGAAAAAGAGCATTGACAATGACCATACTTTATGATAATCTGTGAGTCTTTTTTTTTCTTTTTTTTGTCAAGTGGTACAGTAAATACATCATGTGTTCAATACCGTGTCATACATCAAAATAAACACAAACTTATTTCAAATGCCACATACTGTTACTGTGTTGGTACAAATTTCTACTAAAGTTGATGTATTAAAAATAATTTATATATATCTTATAAATAAGGAAAAAATTCACATGTGTATAATAATTACAGGCGGCCTTTTGAGAAATACTGATTACAGAAAATATATTTCGGAGTCCACACAACTGCTCAAAAGAATGTAGCTTGCCTCAATGTAAGAGATCCAAGGGTTTTTCTGAGGCGGGGAAAGGGTGACGATCTCGTGATGGTGTGCGTAGGGGTTCCACAACTCGAAGGTCATTCGGCAACACAATAGCGTGACATGGTGTGCGACCAGTCCAGCAAAACTTCATGCCCAGTTTCACTTTGGGTCGTTTCACACAGCCTTCAGGAAGCAGGGCAGCAGCACTGGGGGACATGGGGAGCCCTGGAGCCAAGGCAGGGAGGGAGGAGGGTGGAGGAGGCAGGCAGGGAGGGTATGGATGTGGGGTGCTACCACCAGGGGGCACAGTGGGTCTGGGTCTGGTCGCCTGCAAGCTTGTTTCTCTCCCATCTCTGGAGATGGCATGCTAGACAGTGGATGAGGACTTAGAGTTTAGAGAGCCCTTGGGCCTTATAACCAGCCAATGCTGGCTTCCCTTTTTCCAGAAGGTGAACTGTGGAGAGCAACAGGTCACCAAGACTTGGTGTAGGGGGCCAGTCCACACACAAGGCTTTTGCGGGCTGGAGGCAGGGTTCTCTAGAGCTGTCTAGGGTAGGGCCATGTTTTCTAGGCCACTAGTGGTTTTTCATTGGAACACTAAAGCAGCAAGGCATCATGACAGAGGTCACATGATGCCTGTATGGTAGGAAGCTGATGCTCCGTGAATGGTAGGAACTGTCATGGGAGTGAGCCCTGGGAAATGGACTGTATCATGGTCATTAAGTGGAGCTTGGAAAGAAAGGTGCATAAACAGTGACTTTGTCTAAAAAGCAAAAACGCTCTAAATGCTCTGATGCCAGCTAAAAAAGCCTCACTATGAATTCTGGAAGTCCATTTCTTCTCTCCTTACATAGCCCATAATTTCACCCACTCTGTTTGGTTAAATGACACTTCCTAGCTGGATGCCCAAAGAGCCAGAGGAGAATGTGAAGACCTAAGGTGATGCTTCCTTATTATCTCTAGGCACCTGCTGGGGAGTTGATGCCCAAGTCTGCGGGCCCAGCCAAGACACCCCAGATCCTCAAGCCAGTGCGATAAACAGGAAATGGCTTGCCTGCCATCAGCCGCTTGGCATCTTGTGGTCATACCCTGGGTTCCCTGCTCCTGTTGGATCGTCTAAGTATCCCATTTATCATCTTTGTGGCTATGGAGAGAAACCAAACCTGGACAGTTAGTGATGTTCGTCCTGGACAAAACCACATTGCCTCTGTGGTGGCCTGGGAGCAAATAATCAAATGGTAGCATCTAGTCTGTGAGTGACTTCTCATTTGAACCCTCAAAGCAAGGAGCAGGTGGGCAAAGGGCACACGAAGCTGGTGTGACAGAGAGTTGTTGCTCCTTGAAGGATGAGGGCCATCATGGGGGAACTCGGGAGCAGGGGGCCTGGGATACCGGAAGGGAACCAGGAAGAAAGTGAATGAAGTGAGAAATGATGGAGAGGGTGGACTGCCTAGCATGAGGCCGGGCTGAAATGAAATGCCACCAGCTCTCTCCCTGCTGGACGAGGGTCCCTCTTTCTGACCACCCTGAAGGTGCTTTCTCTAGTCTTCGGCTTCTAACTGGGTAGGACCGAGAACTAGGTTTGGGCTGTGATTTTGGACAGCAAGGTGCTGTGCGTGGGTTCTGATCACACGTGGGGTGGGACTGGGGTGGGGCTGGTGGAGGACTTCCGAGTCAGTGCTACAGTAGTTTTCCATCATCTCTGGCCTCCTGGGGTGGCATTCTGGGGGTGCGGGGTGCCCGGGAGGAAGATGTGAGGTAGATTGGTGGGTGTGCAGGAGGGAGGGGAATGGCAATGATTTCCCAGGAGGCTTGCTTCTGGAAGGGAGGGTTGGGGAGATAGTTGTGGGGCTTGTTAGTGAAGATGGTCCAGCATCAGTGATATCTGAATGAAACACATGAAAAAATGAAGCAACTACACTTTAGCCTGTGGTACAAAAATATATCCAGAGCGGATCTGTTTCCCATCTCAGTTCTGAGATCTCCCTTAGTTCACAGGTTATTGGTCATCAGATGAATGAGAAGATGCAGCTGTACAAAGCCGACTCCTGCTGGGCTGGACGAAGACCGGAAGTTCCCATGCTCTGTGGCAGCAGGCTTCTGCTGCTCTTGGCTCTGTTTGGGGGAGCAGTCAGTCCTCCTGGGTGGTTTCCCTTCAGTTGGGAACCCTTTCCTGAACAGAGAGCCGGTGGAGGGGAGATAGCTCTGTTGGTGATGCTCACTCTCTACCTCAGAGAACCTGCAGCATAGTGTTAGTATGTGATCCCAGCCATGACTTCAGGCCTTTTCCAGCCTCCTCCTGTGATTCAGGAAGGCAGCAGGATGTTTGTGTGACTTGGGAACTGAAGAGATCCCTTTAACCATACTGGGGGTGGCCCACCCGCAGGCCTGTTTGGACAAGAGGATCACACAGGAAGCAGGAAGGCTCTCTTCCATGCGTTCTGGGGTGGCTGGGTAACATGTTGAGAGCGAGGACTTTGGGGCAGAAGGAGAACCAGCAGCTACAGGTGCACAGAATTTGTTTTCTGGAAAGAAAAGAACGGTTGAATGTTTGAGTCATCAGCTGAATGTTAAGAATTACGGGTGGGGTTTATGTAAATAGCTTTCCTGGTGATTTTTCTTGGTTAAACCAATCTTTCCCGGGTAAACTGTTGTCAATCTTTGTGTTGAGACCAACCCCCGCGGGCTGGGCTTGTTGCAGGAGACCCACTCGCGGTGTTGACATCTTCTGCTAGTGGGTTTTAAACTTGGCTCACAAGTCTCTCTCTTCTGGCCCCAAAGTGAAGAGACCAGGAAGCCAGGAACGATTTCCCCGTGGTCCTCTGCTTTCTACTGGTGTCCTCGCCAGGAAGCCATTCCACTTTTGTGACTGCGTCCTGGGCTGAGCTATTGACATCTGGACTTCAGGTTTCTTCTGAGTTTTTGCTTTATGTCTTACATGCGGGTCACTGGACATACGCTGTCTCCAGTAACTCGACCAGAGGAAAAGAGAAATCTGGGAGTGACTTCCAGGAATGTGCAGAGACGGGGGACAGTGGCCAAGTAGCATTCCTGCTTTCTTCTGGTTTGTTGGACTAGATCTGCCTTTGACTTTGGAATACTGCATCCAAAGAGCATGGGTACCCTTGCCTTGGTGGGCTTGGAGATGATGTTCTGCCTCTTTGAGGCTCAGGGATTCGTCTGCCTGAGGCAGACACTATTGTTCCAAAAGGAGAAATGGGTGAACATTGGAAGATTTTAGTGAAAACCTGGGACTCTGGAATCATATTAAGATACTGAGGCGGATAAAAAGGGGTAAGAGATGCATCACCATCTACCCCATTGTGAAGCTGGCCATTAGGCCTCTGAGGTCAGCATCCTCAACTTCTATGTGTCTTGTCATTACCCAAATCTGAAACATGATAGCACATGTATGTACAGCCTTGGACTGGAAGGGACAGTTGTTTAGTGGCCTATGAGGCAGGAAACTGGAGTGAGCAATGGGGGTTGCGCACGCATGCGGGAAGTGGGAGGGAGGTGTTTTCAAAGTCATGGCCATTGTTGGTAGGTCAAAGTGGCTGTTAGCCGAAATGTCTGGGGTAGACCCACTGTCTCAACGCCGTGGGTTTGCAGAATAATCATTCAAACTAGAAAGTTTTGGCCACAGACATGGGAGAGGACAGGAGTGTTCGGAGAAACCTGGGTGGGGGTGGGGGGTCTCTCTCTTGCTGAGAGTCTCTGACACAGTTGGTTCCCCATAGGGCTGGCTGGGTTGTGCCTCTTCCTGATGGCCTGAGAAGCCTACCACAGGCAGACAGGAGGGGCTGACACAGCCCTTTGTGGTTCTGCACTTTGGAGACTGTAGATTGGAGTGTGGGAATGAAAACACTTAGGGAAAAGGGGCTCTCTTGAGGTGTGGTGACAGGGGCTGAGGCATCAGTGCTGACCGCTCCTGCAGAAATACAGCCTTAGAACTCTGGATGGATGGCACTCATGGCTTCTGGATTTTGGCATTGTGCTCAGAGGCTGCTTACGCCTTACCAGGAAAGCCTGGTCTGCCCTGGGTCTGTACTTATGCTGGCGCATTAGGCTTCCTTAATAACGTGTTGCCTTTCTATGGTGAAAAGCAGGCACACAGGGCTCAGCTTGGTCTCGTGGGGACCCAGCACAGATTTTAACACGGTAGTTATGGGCTGCACTTGGGCCAACACAATGGTGTGGAGGGCCACTATTTCTTGGATGTCTATTTTTTTTCTGCACATGGGATGTACTGTTGGGACCCTCTCCCCTCAGAGACTTGGCCTAAGGCAGGGAAGAATATAAGCGGGCCTTGGAGAGCATCTCTCTGCATCCTCGCATCTGAGATTATAAAAAAATTAGTTTTAATCAAAAAATTCCAAAATAAAGCAAGTGATTTCCCCATTCCCCAAGGTGTAGTAAGTCTCGGAGGCTCTCCCGCAGGGGTATAGCACTCAGCTGGAAAAACAAGCAAGCAGCATCCGGGATGGGGCAAGTGAAGTCTCCAGCAGGGGTAGAAGGCCAGCCCGCTAAGAGGGACAGCCCTGCTCAACCCCACTGCCCAGGCCACTCCTTCAAGGGCACTGGCTGGGGCTGGCGGGTGAGGATAATGACTATGTGAAGGCAACCGACGGAAGCGTCAGCCTGGGCAGCAGGATCCCTCGGTTCTGTGGTGTCCCCAGGCGACGTGGTGTGCAGCCAGGAACAGAGGTGATTTCCTTGCACACATAGCATGTGTTCTCGTCACAGCTCAAGGCATTAAATCATACTTCTGAATGGAAACCCCCCGATCTTGGTTGCAGCGCATACCTTATACTAGGGAACTTGCAAGGAGGTCATTGTTGAACCACAAAGCGAAGGACAGGGTTTGGCTTTTTTGTCTGTGAAAATGTACAGTGCGCCTGGTTGGGGCTCTGGTGTCAGGACTAGGTGGTACTCCTGGACCCAAGGTTCCTGACTGGACCCTTTCATACCTCCCCGACCCACACAACTGTGGCCACACCCTCTGTGCCTGACACCTCACATCTCAGGGCGTTTTGTCTCCCGTTGATCAGGAACAGCGACTCTTGAGCCGGCGTGAGGAGGTACTGTCCAAAGAGCCCGCTGTCCCTCAGGATTCTGCGGGGTCCGCCCCAGGGTGGGGCTGGCCCTGTGGGGGGCTCCTTTAAGTTCTTCAGCCTGCCCATTTTCCCAGTGGACAGCTCGAGGAACAGCAGGTCTGGCTCCTTGTCGAGAGTGGCATAGGCGTTGAACTGATTGCCTTCAGTGAAGGAATGCTGAAATGCCAGGTCTGAGATGCCTGGGTTTATTTTTAGGTCATATAGGGTCTGGATTTCCCCCCGGACCGTGACCTCCTGCACGTGCAGCCAGGGGCCCTTGTTGGAGACACTGACGATGAAGCGTCCGTCAGGGGACACATGGGGGGTGCCTGTGATGTCAGTGTTAGGGCCCAGCACCGAGTCTGTGACACTGTCAATGAGCAGCTGTGGGCCGGCGGAGGTGGGGTTGTCCTGCTGGCATTGCACGAAGAAGTAGCCGCCCAGGTGGGTGTGCGCCATGGCTTGAGGCATGCAGCCATGGGGCTTCAGGCTGATAGTCTTGAGGGGCATCAGAGTCTCCAGGTCAACTTTGTGGACAGCAGACTCAGACTTGTTGAAGATGAAACCAAACCTGGGGGGAGAGCAATGGAGGTCAGAGAGCACACGGCCACTGTTGGGGGCAGAGGGCATCTGCCATTTGTTTTAAATGATGGCATCCTAACCCTTCAGCCATCTAATGGTCTAGTAATAGGAGCTATCATTCTGCAGGGGACACCTCCAGAGTCAGTTATCTACACTCTTCAGCCACATGCAGTTGAGTACAAATGTTCTTGGATTTGCATGTTTGCAAAACCCACTCATCTCTGAAAAAAAAAATGCTTTTGAAGGGCGGGGGAAAGGCCCTCAATGGCTTCTCTCTGGAGGTGCCTTTGGGCCACTTCCTTAGTGTATGTTAGCTGGGGTGGGGATCTGGGCTTGCAGGCCTTGGAGAAAAAGACTGACTCTTGCCCGGACTGTCACGAGGACCCTTGTCAGTCAGCCTGCTCCTGAGCTGTCTGGTAAGTCAGAATTTGAAGCCACGGATGCAGCTAAACAAGGACAGAATTCCTGTTTGTAATCCTGACACTGGGGCACGAATGCACAGCGTGGTCTCCCCTCTGGCATCCATGATGTGGGCAAGAAGAACCTCGGGCAGCTTTTTGCCCCAGAAGCCACATGGCCTGGTGGTGCTGTGATGCCCTTTGGCTACAAAGCCTAGGACCAGCTGCTTGCCTCTCTGAGCTTCAGGGACTCTAAAAGAGCTCTGTCTCTTTCCAGGGCAGTTGGGAAGATCAGATCCCAGAGGGAGCCCCCAGCAGATGGGACTCGATCTCATCTGGCTTCCTGAAATGCTGTTGGAGACTGACTGCAAGTATGGAAGATCTGACTTGAGGTAAGACTTAGCCTGAGATCCTGTGCCCGAGTGTCTTGCTCGCAAAGGCCCTTGGTGCTGAATGCATGTGCTTAAAGGAACAGGAGAATTCGGTTTCTATAATTTCCTTCGGGAAGAAAAAAAAAAGGCATCTCCTGAGTGGGCAAAATGTCCCAGACACGGGCTTGAAAGCATCCTTAAAGAAGCAAAAAGGGAGAAAACGATGCCCTAAAAAGGAACTTGAACTTAAAAAGCCACTCAGGAGCATCTGTGCCCGCACCACTCCTGGCTGGATCGAGCATCCTGGTGGGGGTCTCATGCATGCATTCAAGCTCTGAGGCCCTGCAGGGAAGGGGTTCTTAGGGAGGCTATTGTCCTCTTTAGGTGCCCAGCCTCAGCGTGCAGACATGAATCATTTCTTCCTGAAGACAGTGTCTGACGTCAGTACACAGAGGCAGTGAGATCTCTGGGGTCTTGATGGCACAGCAGGGGACTTTTGCAGAGCCTGTGGGTGCTCTATGAAGTGAGGAAGGAAGGGGAGTGGCCAGTCCCTAAGGACTCTGGGAACTGGGAACACTTTAATTAGAAGGTATGCTTCGCAGGGGAACCAGGCTCTGGGTCTGCTGTGCCGGGGTGTGTGGTGGTGGGGTAGGGTGTTCACTTCTCTATCCAAAGGCAGATCAGGAAGTATTGAGAGGGAGAGGGGACATGACTGCCCAGGCAGACGGGGTGGGGCTGAGCACGGCCCTGCAGAGTCCTGACGGACCAATCCTACCTGATGTGGTTGATGATGAGATTTGTTGGGGGTATAAAGAAGTCATCCACTCCTGCAAACGGTGTTCGGATGAGGTGCTGGCCCTGGCCAGCACTGGCTTCGGTGATGACCTGTAACAGAGAGGCGCCCGTTCAGGAGGGGCTGGAGCTCTGGGTATGTGCATGTTCAGCTGTAGACCCCACAGATGGTGAGATAGATGGTGGGTAAGCCCTAGTCTCAGGGAAGGGACAGGAGCCAAGTGGGAGCTGTTTGGGAATGTGGAGATTAGGCGCCAGTTCTTCCTGGAGTGCGAGGTGAAGGCCCAGACTGGCTACTCCCCACTCAGTCAGACCTGGCAGTCTGCTTCCTGCCACCCTGCAGGAGGGTGGGGTGAGGACCTAGGGAACCTGAGTTTCCAAGGAAGATTCCCTCCCTGGTGAGGTAATGTGTCAGAGACAGACTTCCTCACTTCTGGTGTTTGCATCTCTGCTCAACCTCAGGGAAGGAGCTTGAACAATGCACTTGTGGACTAGGACATTATTGAGCGTGTTTAGTGTTTTTGTATGTTTGTGTGGCGCAAGCACGTGTGTGTGCACAGGTGTGCATATGCTAGGAGAGGCTAGAGGTCAACCTTGGGTATCATTTCTCATGTCCTGTCCACTCCGTGTGTCTGAGCCCAGGTCTCTCACTGACCTGTAATTCATCACGTATCTGCGAGCCTCTACCTTCTCAGCACTGGATTACAAGTGTGTATTACCATGACTGGCTTGTTTTTTAAAATGGGGGCTCTGGGGATTGGAACTCGGGTCCTCATGCTTACCTGACAAGCACTCTGATTGAGCCATCTCCCTAATCTGGAGTTTATTTACTTTGAGGCTAGGTGCCTTAGCATAGGTTTCTGGGAATTTCTGTCCTATATTGCTGTCAGAATGTGAGACCCCAGAACTGGTGAGAGAAAGCAGGCATCCTGCAGGGCTGTCACTCATGCCATGATGGCATTTTGCAGTGTGACTCTGGCTGTGCAAAAGGGACTTGCTTCCTAATGTAAAGATTTTGGTCCCATGCTTTGCACAAACTGGGGCATGGCTGCCTCTGTCATGCTTTCTGCCCTGTAGACTTGGCAGAAAGCAAGTAGATCCACCCCCTGGTGTGTATCGCTGTAGTGTTGTTGAGTCAGGGCAAGGGTAGCTAGGTGGAGGGAGAGGTTAGACAGGGTGAGACAAAACTGGGTCCCCTGGGTGAAGCCACTTGGCTAACCAAGGTGGCCCATGACCCCCTGCCTTCTGTATATGGTCATCCATCTGTAGGTTCTAGGCCACTGCCCAGAAAGAGGCACATCTACACTACAGTGTGGGCTTGGCCAGCTCACAGGCAATTTTAGCTCAAGGGCACTGGGGATAGGAAGCAGACCCTCAACTCTCAACCAGGAGAGAAAAACATTTTTTTTTTTTCGATCATATTGTGGCCATGGCAGTAGTAGAAAGGACCCAGGTCTTTTGCAGCCCAAAGCCAGCCTACAGACAAGGGCAGTCTCTGGTGGGGCCTGCTGAACAGACAGTTTGAAGCATGCACACTTTGCCTTTTAGGAAAGGGGCTGCCTTCTGGCTCTCTCTTTCATGACAAAACAAACAGCAGCTGGCTTGCCTGTTCAGGCAGGTTGGAGGCTGGAGTCTTTGTATATCTCCATGCTAGCCTTGGGGGTGGGGGAATGTCAGCAGGCAAGATGCTGGAGCAGAGGGATGCATGCTGCGATTTCTAGTCTCCAAGTGATTTTTGAAGTTGTACGGAGCGTATTTTCCTGTGATTTTTTTTCTGTTTAACAAATGGCAGGATGATGCTTTCTTGACAAGTTCGTGGGAGAGAAGCTCATAGAACTGGGCATTAAGAAAATATAAGGATTGGACACTGGATCTAAGAGAGTGTCTGGGAAACATGGCTGAGACTTCCAAGGCAGCATGCAATCGCTGTTTGACACCAGGCCTGCCATTTCAGCTTATAACAGAGATGGAAAATTACAGACTGTGGTCGTCGGTCAGCGTCACTCACGCTTCACCACCCTGACACCCTATATTCAGAGGTGGCTTCATCAAACACAGCACCATGGACCACTGAGCCGATGCAGTGTGTCAACTTTATTTCTCTGAGCCCTGAGGTTCTTCTGGCCCTGGCCTTGTGTCCTAGCACATGGCTGAGCCCACAGATGCCACAAAGGTAATTCTGAAAGACCCCTGGTTCTGTGGGGTCATCTCAGGAGAGAGACCCAGATGGCAGAGTAGCATCAGGGGTTACCTGGAAAGAAGGGAGGGGACAAAGAGGCTGAGATTCTTCCTTAAATGGGTGGACAGTGCCAACTGAGAAGTAACGTCTAGAGGGACAAGCTAGAGGCCACTGAAAGCTGGGCCTGGGGTAAAAACCACTGGGTAAAATTGGTGATGCCTTATGGTCAAAACTGGTTGCTTCATGCATGGACTTACCTCCACACAGCCAGGGCAAAATTTAACAAATTCCTGAATATTGAATATTTAGGAGGAGGGATAGAATACTTCCAATGCTTTACAAGTACTAACAGCACAATCTTTACCCACACCTGTAGTCTTTTTCATTGTGTGTGTTTTGGATTTGGGGTACAGGGGTCTCCCTATATATTCCAGTCTGGCCTTGAACTCCCAATATTTCTGTCTTAGCATTCAGAGTTTCAAGGTCATAGGTATGCATGGTCACATACAGCTTTTTTATTGGTATCTAGGAACTTTTTTTTTAAAGGTTACTTAAAATAATTGTGTGTGTGTGCACGTGTGTACGTCTGTATGTGCACGCATATATGTGCAAAGAGGGCAGAAGGGGGCACTGGATCTTTTGGAGCTCAAATTGTAGGTGGTTGCAGGCCTCCTGTTGTGGATACTGGGGATCAAACTTGATCCTCTGCAACAGTGATAAGGACCCAATTGCTGGGCCCTCTCTCTAGCACCCAGGTTACCTTCTGGTTATCAGATATTACGGCCTATACCATCTAATTTTGCAAAACCTTTGACACTTTCCTTAGATTAGTGAAATACTTTTGTATCTATACGCATGTGAAAGAACTCTACTAGATGAGATGTTTCCTATATATTAAATTCAGCTCCTTGTCTGTGTGGATGGACTTTCTCAATGTGTTATTTTCTCTACTTGGTATGTACAATTTAGGCCCATCTTTGATCAAGCTATATTATATTTAATCACTGCTTTATACATTTACATTGTCAGGCACATAGCTATTCATCATCATGAAAGTCTCTCCTGCTGTCTACAGCTTTTAAATTGGAAGCCACCTCACCCAGGACTTGCATTCTCTCTCATGAGCATCCCTTTGATCAACTGTTACCACGGTTTCAAGTCTTGAGGTTTCTCCTTTTATTACGTCTCTCATGTCTTTCCCCCCCTTTTTGGTAATGGAGACTAAATCTAGGACCTTGGATGTGGTAGGAAAGCATTCTAGCGTGGAGCTGCATTCTGGTCCCTTTAACTAAGAAATGCATGCATGCACATGTGCAGGCCAGAGGCCAGCCTTGGGTGCTAGTGCACCCTCCTTTTAAAAATTAAAATATATTTTTGATATTTATTTTATGTGCATGACTGTTTTGTCTGCTCATATGGATGTGTACCATGTGCATGCCTGCAGAGATCAAAAGAGGGCGTCAGATCCCCTGGAACTGGAGTTATGGACAGCCGTGAATCACCCTGTTGCTGGGTACCAGATCTGGGTCCTCTGCAAGAATGGCCAGTGCTCTAACCACTCGTCTCTTTAACTCTATGTCCCTCTTATTTCTTTTTGAGGCCGTTTATTGAATTGACCTGAGATTTGCTATGTAGACTGGGTTGGCTGGTTAGAGTCCCAGGAATCATCCTGTTTCAGTCTCCCCAGAGCCCCCATATCCAGCTTTAAAAAAAAAAAAAAAAAGATTGGTTTTGTGTGAGAGACGACAGGTGTGAATATGGAGGTCAGAGGACAACTTTTGGGGGTCAGTTTCTCTCCTTCCACTGTGAGTTCTAGGGATGGAACTTGGTGGGTGGGGCTTGTGCAGCAAGTGTCCCCTCTCACTTAGCCATCTAGCTGGCACCACATTCACTTTTTCCCCTGTGGGCTTGGGGGTGGGGGTCAGGGTTCAGTGTTTGTAACATACGCACTTTACTGACTGAGCTCTCTCTCTGCCACACTTGTTCTTTTTTGAGGTAAGGGCTAAGTTGCCTAGGCTAGCTTTGAACTCACTTTACTATCTAGGCAGGCCTTGAACTCATGAACCTCTTTCCTTTACCTCCTGAGTAACTGTGATGCCAGTGTCACTAGGCTTGGCTTTATATTTCTTGAAAAAAAACTATTTCTAATGTTTCTCTTCTTTTTCTTTCTTTCTTTCTTTCCTTTCTTTCCTTTCCTTTCTTTTCTTTCTTTCCTTTCTTTTCTTTCTTTCCTTTCTTTTCTTTCTTTCTTCCTTTTTTTTCTTGAGACAGGGTTTTTCTGTGCAGTTTTGGTGCCTGTCCTGGAGCTCGCTCTGTAGACCAGGCTGGCCTCGAACTCACAGAGATCCACCTGCCTCTGCCTCCCTATGTTTTTCTTTTTTAAAGTCCAATCAAATAATTCTATTTATTTATGAATGACAGGGTCTCTCTCAAGTAGCCCAGCTAGCCTCAAATTCACTGTGGAGTAGAGGCTGACCTTCTACTTCTGATCTTCATGCCTCTACTTCCCAGGTTCTGAGATTACAGGTATATGCCACTGTGTATGATTTTCTGTGGTGCTGGGGATGGAGTCTGAGACTTTATGCATGTCAGGTAAGCACACTACTTACAGTCACATCCCCAGCACATTAAAAACACACACACACACACACACACACACACACACACACACACACACACAAAAAAAAAAAAAAAAAAAAAAAAAAAAACAAGAACAGGCTGGAGAGATGGCTTAGGGGTTAAGAGCACTGGCTGCTCTTCCAGAGGACCCGAGTTCAATTCCCAGCACCCACATGGCAGCTCACAACTGTCTGTGATTCCAGTTCTAGGATGTCTGACATCCTCAAACAGACATACATACAAGCAAAACAACAATGCACATAAAAGTAAAAACAATCATTAAGAAAAGAATTCTAGCTTGGGGGTGGTGGCGCATGCCTTTGATCCCAGCACTTGGGAGGCAGAGGCAGGCAGATATCTATGATTTCCCGGCCAGCCTGGACTACGGAGTGAGTTCCAGGACAGCTAGGACTATTATACAGAGAAACCCTGTCTCAAAACACCAAACCAAATCAAACCTAAAGAGAGATATTTGGAGAAATAGGATATTCATGCTCCAACATTTTCTCCACTCTTATCCCAAGAAAGCGAGACTTGCATTTTTACTCTGCCCTGGCTCCACTCACTCTTGATTACAATAACTTATACTTACTATATTTTTATTTGTCTTTCAGTCCCTAATTCTCCAGCTTTATGTAGTATATACACTTCCAGCCCTCTCTTAAACCTCCTCTGTCCCTCAATGCTGTGCCTCCTTTCTCTCTCTATACTGTGATAATGTCTCTGGTCTGGCTCATCTGATGCTTGTCATATCTTCCCTCTATGTCCCCTCAGGCTTCTTTAGTGTTGAGCCCCTGGATGCTCACACACACCCTCTTGTCTTCCTGGGTAAGTGGCGTCTTTGCTTGGACAGGACTATCGACGCTCAGCTCTTTGCTCTTCCAACCACATCGATGTCACGTGTGGTCTTCAGCTACTGTTGCAAGCGAGAGGTCTAATGTCATCCCGATTGTCTGTCTTTGATGGGCAATTTGTTTTTTTAGTCCTAAGGGGCTTCCCTTGTCAGAGTTTCCTTTCTTGGAGTTCCAGCATTTTATTAAAAAGTACCAAGAGAGACATTATTTCTCATTGCTTAGGACTGGGAGTTGTGAGCCCTCTTTGAGAACGAGTGGATGAGCATACATGCACACACCATGGCACATGTGTGGGGGGCAGAGGACAACTTTGTGGAATTAGTTCTCTCCTTCCATGTTTACACGGCTTCTGGGGATTTGAACCTGGGCTGTTAGGCTTGTGTGGTAAGCACCCTTACTCTGAGCCCTCTCTCCAGCCCTAGATCTTGTCGAATCCACACGATGACAGTTCTTTTTTTGAGACAGGGTTTCTCTGTGCAGCCCTGACTGTCTTAGAACTCACTTTGTAGACCAGGCTGTCCTCCAACTTAGAGATCCAGCCTGCACCACCACTGCCTGGCATGATTACAGTTCTTTAACTCAGCAATTATGTTCCAAATTTGTTTGATTTCTTTTTCAATAGTTTCGCTATGTTACCCTGGTTGTCCTGGAACTCGTGGGCATCCTTCTGCCTCGGCTTCCCCAGTGCTTGGATTATAGGTGAGTAGTACCATGCCTAACACATTTCCTGTTTGATTCTATCCCAACAGTGACCCCACACCTCTCTCTGAATATTAAGGGATCCTGTTCCACATCTCTAAATCTTCACAGGTTTTCCATTCAGGAAGATTTTCTTTTTCTTACAGGTTACTTCATAAAGATGCAGTTTTATTTTTCCTCTTTTTAAATCACTGCAGTTTTAAACTAGGAAGCCAGTTGCATTCCTTTTTAGTTGAAATGACCAATTTTCTGGTAGTCTCTCCTTGGATTTTGTTCTCCGCATTCTCAGGAAATCTGTCCCTGTTGTGGTTTGGCTGTACGATGTCCCCCACACGCTTATGGGTTTGAACACTTGGTCTCTCCAGCTGGTGACACAGTGTCAGGAGGTGACGCTGTGTTGGGAGGTGACAATCGATCGCTAGAGGAAGTGGGCTGCTTGAGGGAGGGAGGACCCTGACGAGTACAACCTGACTTTGTCTGCAGTACCCTGTCTGCATCCTAGCCACTGAGATGTGAGCAGGCAGCCGTCCCTTCCCACTGTCACACTTGGGAGGCATTCCTGCCAGCTGTGCTTCCCCAGATGTGGTGGGCTGGGCTGGCCCGCCGTGATGGCCTGCCTGTGCTTCGCCCGCTGTGATGGGCTGTGCCCGCTGTGAAGGGCTGTACCCACAAGCAATTCAGAGGGTATTTGGTTACAGAGAAAAATGAGTAATATAGTCCCCCACAGCTCTTCCAGCTCATTTTCTGTTCTTAGCAACCTTTATTTTGGCTCCCAGGACTTTTGGCAAGTTCTTTGGATTGTCAGGTTCACTGGACCTGGGCCTGGTATCTTCCCCTTGGGTCCAGGAAGGGCTGGGAGAACAGGGCAGAGTTGTCTCCATTTACTTCTGTGGATTCTAAAGACATTCAACCCTAGTGGCCCAAATCATTCATTTGCATGTAATGAGTTAACTCCTCCATGTATGCAATGGTTCTGTGCACTGCTTTTTAGGAGAACTGAGTTGACCATCAAGTGACTTTTTCATAGGGCTTAGTGGATCCCTGGGCAGAGAGGCAGGACCAGGCACACCCAATGCCAGTTAGTGTCAAACTTCCCTAGCTGGTGTGGGGAGGATTCCCACAGATCATCAGAGCCCAGCCTCTTCTCAGGAGGCAGCAGGTACAGGGTAGGGGCTTCAGAGCCATGCTGGGTGGGCCGGGACCAAGGGGAAATCACTATCTGTGGCCTAACACGCTGTTAGCACTGTCTGTGTGCTTTCTCTGTGGATTTAAGCACTTGGGCTGCTGCTCCTGTTTATCAGTTAGAACTGCAGTTTCAATAGAGTGTGTCTCCACCAAACTCACGTGGGGGGGGGGGGGGCTCTGATGCTGTGGTGTTGAAAGGCGGTGGGACCTTCTTGGGCTCTGTTAGTTCATGAATCCCTAATTTTTTTTTTTTTGGTTTGTTTTGGTTTAGTTTTTTGAGGCAGGGTTTCTCTGTGTAGTTTTGTTGCCTGTCCTAGATCTCGCTCTGTAGACCAGGCTGGCCTCGAACTCAGAGGTCTGCCTGCCTCTGCCTCCTGAGTACTGGGATTGCTCAGTACTCCTGCCCGGCTGAATCTCTATTCTCTTGAAGAGATTAAGGTGGTCCTTCTAGGATGGGTGAGTTCTCACAAGAATGGGAACATCATGCCTCTCTCTCCACCCCCTGGCACACGTGCCCTTCCACGTACATCTGCTTCCATTTTCTACACGTCCACCATGGTGGCAGGCAGCATTGCTGCCTTTGATCTCTCGCCAGAGGCTGACCAGGTAGAGCTGCTTGGTCTTAGATGAAACCATGAGAGAAAACAGATTTTTTTTCCTTTATAAATCACCCAGCTTCAGGTATTTTGTTATAACAACAGAAAGCAAATGGGAAGAGCCCACATTCATGACTTGATTTAACACTATCCTCTAGACAGTCTGTTCATTCCAAGGAGAAGAAGATCTTGCCTTTCTTTTCACTGTCTGGACTCCAGAGGCTCATCCTGTTTGACTCTCAGAGTTACTGACTCGGGAGAAGCAGGTGTGGTGGGGCTGGGTAGGGACTGGGTTGTCAGGACATTAGAATTTGACCATTTTACAGGGTTTGCAGTAGCATTCCTGGTTGAAAATGCCCTGTGAACTGCCTAATGGGGGCATTGCTCGGGGCTGTTTCCGGTTTCCTTCTGTTGGTGTAATAAAATATTCTGACCTGGAGCCGTTTAGGGAGGAAAGGATTTATCTGGCTCACACTTCAGAGTCACAGTTCATCTTTGAGGGAAGTCAAGACTAGAACTCAAGCAGGAGCCTGGAGGCTGCTGCTTGCCAGCTTGGGTACAGGCTCATGCTTGGCTAGCTTTCTTACACAGCCTAGAACCGAGTGTATAAGGGATAGTGCCTCCCGCAGTGGACTGGATCCTCCTCCTTCAATTAACAATCAAGACTATTCACCCATGGACATGCCTACAGGGCTACTCTGCTCTGAACAGTTTCTCAGCTGAGAGTTTCTTCTCAGATAGACAGGTGAAGCTTGCTAATACTGTCTCCTGCTTTCTACTCCAGCCTTTGTGGAAATAGTTGGGATAGGTGGCCACCCAGGGAAGCATGAGACAATCATTTTATTGCAACAGAATCTTGCTATAGTCTGAGTGCCAGCTTTCAACATGCTCCACATACCTGCAGGCTTGGTTGGGACTTGTGCACGTCCCCCCAGCTCAGGACCCACACTTGGTCATGTGACTTGTCATAGGACAGCTTGGCTGGCAGAGGGTCCACACCTATGGACTTGAAAAGAAATAGTGACAAGTTGGTCATTGCTGAGGCTGACATGATGCTTATTTTGGACTTGTGTGTATGTGGTTATCTCACTAGGGGAGTTGGGAAGCTGGCCTCAAACCCTAGTCAATAATCCTGATTGGAAACTCGGTGAACAAGCCTTCACATGGGATTTGTCCTCAGAGGGCAAGGGACTCTGTGAGTTGTCCCCTTTGAAGAACTTAGTTTCTTGCTCGTATCTCACCTAAAGTATCCTAGGTCCAACTTGGACAGAGACTGAGCACAGAGTCTTTAAGACTTCCACTCAAGAACCAGCTCCAGGGGGCTCTTTTTAGTCTTCCTGGAAGTCTTGGGGGCTCTTGGGCCCTCAGCATCCGTCTGGGTTCTGGTGAGTGGTCCTTTCCCATGACCATCTGAGGTAGATTTGGAGGCCACCTGTTGCTACCCAGCTCTTACCTTTGTTCTACTCTGTGCTGCCTCTTTGTTGCACGTCAATCAGTCGAAGGTTCTGGACTCAGACTACAGCATCACGCAGGCACACACCCCCTTTTTCAATGGCAGCACCTGAAAATTTGCTACCTGCCAAGGCTATAGCTTCTCCCAAGGCCCTGCCACAAGAATGCTCTTTTCTTCTTTTTATAGTATAGTTTTTTTAAAATTATGTGTATGTTGTGTGTGAGTTCAGGTGCCTGAGGAGGTCAGAAAAGAGCGCTTCGGTCCCCTGGAGCTGGAGTTTCAGATGGTTGTGAGTCAACTATGTAGGTGGTGGGAACCAAACTCAACTCCTATGTAAGATCAACAAGCACTCTTTACTGCTGAGCCATCTCTCCAGCCCCATAGTATAGTTTTTGTTACAAAACTGCTCCTTGATGCTCATGCCACTAGACTATGAATCACCAGCTTTTCTCATAACCCCCATGCTCAGTGAAGATGCTGACACAGGTTCTCTGTCATCTTTTTCTGCCCATTTGGCCACCACGTTTGATGCCTTCAAATCCATATGGATAAGCCCTGTCTTAGGGTTTCTATTACTGTGGTGAAACACCATGACCAAAACAACTCGGGGAGGAAAGGGTTTATTTGGCTTATGCTTCCACACCACTCTTCATCATTGAAGGAAGTCAGGACAGGAGGCAGGAGCTGATGCAGAGGCCATGGAGGGGTGCTGCTTACTGGCTTGCTCTGCATCACTTGCTCAGCCTGCTTTCTTATAGAACCCAGGACCATCAGCCCAGGGTGGCCCCACCCACAATGAACTGGGCCTTACTCCACTGATCACCAATTAAGAAAATGACCTACAGGCAGCTTGGCTGCAGCACCATTTTATGGAGGCATTTTCTCAATTGAAGCTTCCTCCTCTCGGATGGCTGTAGCTTGTGTCAAGTTGACATAAAATGAGCCAGCACATGTCCCCAAAGCCCCACTTTCTCCATGGTTTCAATGGCTTTTCCTCCGCCAACATAACTTATACCTCATCAACATAATTTCTGAAATTTCACTTTCATCCATAGTCTAGCATTTTTAGTCTGTGGGGAAAAAATGACCATCTCTGTCCACATTGGCCCAAATTTCCCTAAATAAGTGTCTTTTGAGCCCCCTACCCACTTCTCATTTTCTGCTTCCATCTCTGTAGTGAGGTGTCCCAGACCTCCTCAAAAGTTCATCTGCCACTTCATGGCCCTCCTCTTAACTTTGCAGGACTTCATGTGTTCACCACTCCCTTTTAGAAGTACTCCACTGACCTCTCTGGCTCCTCTACTTCCTCCTAAGATCTGGTATGTCCCAGATCTTCTCTGTTGAGGACCTCCCCGTAATGTGCAGAACTGAACTTGTGATTTTGCTTCCTGCTGAAATGTCTTCCTTCCCCACTGTCACGACTCACTTCACTTCCTTGTTCTAATTGATAGCACCCACCCAAGTCCCAAGGAGAATCTCTACTTTTCTAGCCTTGACCGACCCTCAAGGTCGATGTAACCTCCTGTGAGCCTGGCATGTATCCCTGCTTTCACTTACTCTGGTGGTTGGTGTTCACTCTCATCTGGACTGGTTTTGGAATCACCCAGGAGACACAGCTCGAGCTATTCTTGTGAGCATGTTCCTGGCGAGGTTTAATGTGGTGATATATTATTTGTAATCTAGGAAATAAAGCTTGCCTGAAGATCAGAGAACAGAGTTAGCCATAGAGGTCAGGCAGTGGTGGCACACACCTTTAATCCTAGTACTCAGGAGGCAGAGATCTGTCTGGATTTCTGTGAGTTCAAGGCCACACTGAGCTACATGAGATTAATCCAGTCTAAAAGAGAAACAGAGCCAGGCAGTGGTGGCACACACCTTTAATTCTAGCACTTGGGATCACACATCTTTAATCCCAGCACTAGGAAGGTTGAAACAGGAAGTGATATGGTTGGACAGAGAAAGGAATCTGAGGCGGGAGGAGACAGGAGCTCTGCCTCTTTCAGGGTCTTTCAGGCTGAGGAGTTGGTGAGGTAAGAGGTGGTGGCTGTGGCTTGCTCTGCTTCTCTGATCTTTCAGCTTTCATCCTGATACCAGGCTCAGGGGTTTTTATTAAGACCAAGTAGGATTCATACAACAGTTTAAGGAGAGGAGAATGTGGGCTGAACCCTCCACAGACTGGGCCCAAGGCTCACTGAAAAGGGAAACAGGAAAAGGCGTTCTGAACACCAGCCTTCATCTCTCCTTCCTGACTGTAGACTCAAGATGAGCAGCCGCTTCCCACTGGAGATGCTTGCTGCTGTGACGGACCAGACCCTGAAACCTCAAGCCCGAACAGACCCTCTCCCTTCAGTTGCTTCTTGTCAGGCGTCTGGTCACAGCAACGAGACAAGTGACTAATACATTTCCCAAAGGCTTTGGCACCCAGCACTGCCATGATCCTACTGGGAGCTTTCCGTCCCACGACAACGCTACCATCTGAGGACTTGAACGGCTGAGCCATCTCTCCAGCCCTTGATCTTTCTCTTTCAAGACTCTCTCTCGCATACACCCCATTCATCTGTTCTCTTCACTGCAAAATTTCCTTGGTGTTTAGGCAGTAGCCATTGTCTTCCCTTTCTACTTAACCCCATCCTGTGAGATTTCATGCTCCTGCTCAGTACTGTGAAAGAGGGAGCTGAAGAACTAAGCCGAAAGTGGATTACACTCAGAATGGGATTTTCCACGGTCTCACTGCGCTCAGCAGCTGAAGTGAGGCAGGAGCAAGAACCGGAGTTAAAAGCCCCGGGATTAGGGGATGGACTGAGCAGACTTGGCCCTCAAGAAATTTGAAAATGATCAACTCACTACTCTTTCTGCCTAGCAGATGAAAGGCTAAATCCTTTCTGGTGGATGACAGCCATTTAAAGACTTTACAACTTAAAAATATGTAGAATGTTTGGATTAAAAAAAATCACTAGGCATTTCAAGAGGCAGATATCTTCTTACTTTTCCAAATCACAATGTGAAGGGCCACAAGAGGATAATTAAGCATTTATATGAAGTAAGGTGGTGGTGATGACGGCACAAGACTTTAATCCCAGCACTCTGCAGGCAGGCTGATCTGTGTGAGTTTGAGGCCAGCCTGGTCTACAAAGCGAGTTCTAGGACAGCTTGAGCTGCTACACAGAGAAACTTTGTCTCAAAGTCAAAAACAAACAACAAAAAAGAATTTATATGAATCTGGGAATTAAATAGCAAATTTGAAGGCAAAAATGAATTATCTGATATAACAATAAATAGGCAAATCCATATTTAATGAAGGAGAAGGTAGGATTAGCAAACTGAAAGACATATTGTAGGACATACAAAACAAGAGAAGACATGTGGGATACGATGGAAAGACAAATCATTTTAAAGAGGGGGTCCTGAGGAAGGAAGTGAACCCGAACCAGCAGAATAGTTAAAGACATAAGTGCTGAGAACTTTCCCATCTGTTAAATGTTCAATCCACAAACTCAGGAGTCTCTTGAAGCCTTGAATCAGAATAAACTGCAAAGATCACCACATGAGAAGCATGGCAGTTAAAGCGCTGGCCAAAGAGGAACTCGGAGGCGTGAGGGAAGATACAGTTGGTCCAACAGCAAAGGAAGACATCTGGAGGGTGTCTTAAAACGCTGAAGGAAGGTAACTGTCACCTAGCATTATGCAGAAATAGAAAATATTTTCACTTCAAACAAAAATGACCTCTGTTGCCAGCAAAAGAACTAAGAAAAGTGACCTCATTCCAGCCCTTTGGAGGATGAGGCAGGAGGACTGAGTTTAAGGTTAGCCTGGCCTATGGAGTGAGATGTTGTCAGAACAACTACCACCTACCTCAGAAAGGAAGTGGACTAGAAAGTAAATATCAGTTATTGCCTGGATATATGCATGTATGTGTATTTATATACAGTAATAATACATAATAATACAAAAGGCAGGAAGAAGGTAGGTTAAAGGAGTTAGCGTTTTAATGTTGAGGAAATGAAATGTGATGGCTAGTGTTAAAATTTATTTTGTGGGATATTTGTACACTGTGAAGAGGTATTGCTGTGCCTGATACAATAAAAAGCTGAACAGCCAGCTGGGTGATGGTGGCGCACGCCTTTAATGCCAGCACTCAGGAGGCAGAGCCGGGCTGATCTCTGTGAGTTCAAGGCCAGCCTGGGCTACCAAGTGAGTTCCAGGAAAGGCGCAAAGCTACACAGAGAAACCCTGTCTTGAAAAACCAAGAAAAAAAAAAAGAAAGAAAAAAAAGCTTAACAGTCAATAGCTAGGCAGGAGAGAGAGGTGGGACTTCCAGGCAGAGAGAAGAGGATGAATGAAGCCCACAGGAGATGCCATGGAGACATGGAACAAGTCAGATACACAGAATGGGAGAGAGGTAAAAGACACATTGTAGACTTAAAAATATGGGTTAATTTAAATTGTAAGACCTAGTGGGAGAAGCTAAGGTAAGGCCGAGCTTTCATAATTAGTAAGTTGCTGTGGGATGTTCTGTATGTTAAATGTGTTGCTCTGATTGGTTAATAAATAAAACACTGATTGGCCAGTAGCCAGGCAATAAGTATAGGCAGGACAAGGAGAGAGGAGAATTCTGGGAAGTGGAAGGCTGAGGCAGAGAGACTCTGCCAGCTACCGCCATGACAAGCGAGATGTAAGGTACTGGTAAGCCACGAGCCACATGGCAACTTGTAGACTAATAAAAATGGGTTAATTTAAGATATAAGAACAGCCAGCAAGAAGCCTGAGCCATTAGGCCAAACAGTTTAAGCAATATAAGTCTCTGTGTGTTTACTCGGTTGGGTCTAAGCAGCTGTGGGACTGGTGGGTGAGAGAGATTTGTCCTGACTGTGGGCCAGGCAGGACTGGAGAAACTCTAGCTACAGTAAGTGTCTGTCGTTATTTGGGAGCTGACGGACCGAAGGAAAGACCTACTACCTTTATATTTGACATAAATTAGAATCATCTGGGAAATGGGCAGTTGGGCATGTCGAGGTCAGATTATCTTGGTTATATTAATTGAGGTGGGAGGTCCTGCCACTGTAGGTAGCACCATTCTCTAGGCCGGGAATTCTGGATTGAGACAGGGTTTCACTGTGTAGTCCTGCCTGTCCTGGAACTCGCTCTATAGACCAGGCTGGCCTCAAACTCAGAGATCCACCCACCTTTGCCTCCAAAGTGCTAGGATTAAAGGCATACACCACCATTGCCCAGCTACTAATTCACTGTTTTCTGTTTTTTTTTTTAATTTATTTTTATTTTATGTGCATAGGTGTTTTGCCTGTATGTGTATCTGTGTGAAGGTGTCAGAACTCCTGGAGCTTGAGTTATAGACAGTGGTAAGCTGCCATGTGGGTTCTAGGAATTGAACCCAGGTCCTCGGGAAGAGCAGCCAGTGCTCTTAACTGCTGAGCCATCTCTCCAGCCCTGTTCTCTGCTTCTAACTATCAATGTACTGTGACTGTTGCTTCAGCTTCCTACCTGACTCCTTGCAATAATGGATTGTGATCAGAATCACACTCTTTCTCCATTAAGTGCTTTTGTCAAGAGTACATTAGCACAGCAACAAGAAAGGAAGCCAAGACATGAAGTAACCATTTACATGTGATAGTATCAGTGTAAGGATGTGTGTTGCAGTCTCTATGATACTAATAACGTGAGTACATCTTCAATAAACAGAGGGAAAAAAAAGAACAAAAATCTTTGGCAAAGCCAAAAGCAAGCAACATAAACAGGCTAAATAAAAGGTAAGATGATAGAAGCACTCAACTGTACAAATTATATTAAATATGAATGGATCAAATATTTTAAGTAAAAAACTAAGGTAGTTAAACTAGATAAAACTTAAATGTTATGAAATATCTTAAATATAAGGCATAAAGAGGTTGGAAAGTAAAAGGATGGAAAAACTGTAGCATGAGAATACTAATTAAAATATGATTTAGCTATACTAACATTATTTTAAAAAAACCAGATTCACAGCATTACCAGAGATAAAAGGGATATTTTGTGAGGAAAAAGAGAATCTTTCCCCTAGGAAGAGACTATAATCTTAAAGCAAAAATGGAGAGAACTCGTGGAAGGAGATAACTCTATAGCCACAGTGGGTTGTAAAAACACACCTCAGCAGCTGATAGATCAGACAAAACGAGTCACCTGAGAAAGGAGAGCTGAGCAGCACAATGAATCAACTTGACATCACTGACACATATTGAGTAGCTCATCTAACACTAGAATACATGTTCTTGTAAAGTAAACATGAAACATTCATCAAAGTTGATCACAAGCCCTGTTTTAAAAAAAGATAAAAATTACTCAATGTGTTCTCTGACCATGGGAATCAAACTGAAAACCTGTTGCATATACCAGGAAAAACCATAGCTCTGGCTATATCAAATGTTCTTCATATGTGCTATTTCCCAGGGGCCAGAGACTGCTCTGCCGGTTGGTTAAATTTCTAGTCACAGTCCTTCAGTTGGAAATCACTATTGCCCAGCATTCCTTGCACATGTACCTGGTCAATCCAATTCCATGCTTAGCTTTTACCTTTCTCCTCAAACCTCCAGCCCTAGTGATAATCTTCCTTCTGTTTCACTGAAAAAAATCCAAAAGAAAGTAATCTACCTTCTGCCCCCTGAATTGCCTAGTGGTACCTAGTGGAGGGATATTCTCCTGGCTAAGGCTGGTGTCCCCATCTGTGTGCCCTGGAGTCCACTACAATTGTCTACCGTGACAACACATGGGCGGAGCCTGGAAAAGGTTATTCCCATTAGCATGCACACTCTGGGGTAACATTTCTTTGGCACTCCTTCCTCATTTTTATACTCTTGAGTTTTCCCTCTATACAGTTGCCTGTGTCCCCCTACCACACCTTCTCCCCCATCGTTCTGCCTTGAGTCCCCTTCTCCAGGGTTGTCTTGACTGTTGCCATCCTAGCTGTTCTAGCTAAGGTGGTCTATGATGTGGGAAGAGGAAATCCAATGGCCGGTTCTCAGATTTCCTAACATCCAAAGCAATACTCGACATCAGAGGCCACTAATGCCTTCTGGAGACCCTCTCTGCCTGTGAAGTACTACCTGCCCCAGGCTTTCTTCCTTTCAGGCTATTTCTTAGATGTCTGTCTCTCTGCTTCTTAATCTTAAAATGTGGGAAAGCCTTGGGCCTCCATCCTTGACCTCTTCTCTGTATACACTGGGTGATGTCAGCCCGTTTTCTATATTTAATCAGGCCATGGGATGATGATACTCAGACTGACAGCTTCAGCCTCCATCTTTCCTTTGACCTGTTTACTTGAGATAGCTCTTTAAATATCTGACACCATTTCATATTTAATCTCTCTTCCATCTGCGGTCAAACTTTCCTTTGCCTTTCCCTTACACGAATACTTGTGGTTGCAATCTTCCAGGATCTCCTGACTTGAAAAATCCTTAGCCATGCCTATACTGTCTATTTTGCTATATAAGACAATGTTCATTTTCCTGGGATGGAATGTCTTGGGGGCCATTATTTACCTATCAAATATTATAAATGATATAACCATTCTATGCCCAAGCTAACAAAAGAACCACATAATGCCCTTTTGGTCCCTTCTCAAACTTTACATTTAACCCAGCAGGAAGAATTTTAGGGGGGGCTGGCGAGATAGCTAAGAGTGCTTGCTACTTTTCCAGAAGACTGAAGCTAGGTTCCTAGTACTGAAGTGGCTCATGACTGCCGGTAACTCCAGCTAAAGGGATCTGATGCTCACGTGCACATACACATAACTAAAAATAACAAAGTGAATCTGCTAATTTCTCATCATGGCCCTCTGATGCCACCACCATCTTGTGTCTGGAACAAGTTCCACCCATCCCTGCTCTGTCTTCTTGCAACTCTTTTTTTTTTTTTGGTTTTTCGAGACAGGGTTTCTCTGTGTAGCTTTGCACCTTTCCTCTTTCCTGGAACTCACTTTGGAGACCAGACTGGCCTCGAACTCACAGAGATCCTCCTGGCTCTGCCTCCCGAGTGCTGGGATTAAAGGTGTGCGCCACCAACGCCCAACTCTTCTTGCAATTCTTAAAGCAGCAGCTGTATTGGTGCTCAGAAACCTTTTGGTGGCTTTCTCTGCCTTGATCTTATTCTATAGCCCAGTTGGCCCCCAGGACCCTCAAGGGGCTGGCTTCTGTCTACTCCTAAACTCACTGTCTCCACTCTCCCCTCATCACTGCGTGCTGCCCCCATCGTCTGTGTCTTGGGTCTGCTCTTCCCTCATCACTGCATGCTGCCCCCACAGTCTGTGTCTTAGGTAGCATTCGGATCCCAGCTTTTGTTCAGCTCCAGAGTGAGGACCTATTTGAGTAGTCTTACAGCTCTATGGTCACACTAACCCTGCTTTCCACAGCTCTTACAGTGCCTGGAACTCTGAACTCTCGTGCCTGGGACTACAGTGCCAGCATTCATCTACAATCATGCTGGGCATGCAGGAATGTATACTTGATAGACTGCTACACAGGGGCCTCTCGCCAGGCTCAGCCCCTCTCACAGGAACGGGAGAGTGTGCACGCACCAGGTGTTGCCCCAGGATTTCAAGTCTTCCCCACTTCTTCCAAGAGCTGTTACCTGTAAGACTTTCTGGGCTTGAACATCGAGCACAAGGACTCTGTTCAGTGCTGGCTGGGCCACGTAGATGTACCGGTTCCTGACATTGACTGCAGATGCCCACTGGCAAGGCTGGCCGGCATCTCCTTCCCCATGAGGACAGATTTCTTCCTGTAAGGAGACAGACAGCCATGAATCTGTTCTTCCACCCTCTCCAACATCTCTGGGGTCCCTATCCCTTAACCCTCTTGGATCCCCTTTTCTCTCTTTAACTCCTTGGGATTTGTACGTAGAACATGGCATGCAAGCCCTGCCGTGTTACTAACTTCTCACTGGACCCTCATCTTCCTCACCAAGGTCAACGCTATATCACCATGTGCTCAATTTGCAGATCTTTCTGTGTGGAACAGCCCAGGACCCATTCCTGGATTTCTTCTCTGAAGTCTGTTCCCTTGTTGATCTCCTTGAAACCTACAGCTTTAGGTACTGCCTGTACACTTACCACTCCCGTGTGTGTGTGTGTGTGTCTGTGTGTGTGTGCGCGCGTGCGCGCACGCACGCGCATACATGTGTGCTCATATATGTACACGTTTGCACAAGGCCTGGGGAGGCCATGCCATTCCCCCAGTGCCGCTCACCTCATTTTTTCTATGACTCTTTTTGAGATAAGGTTTCTCAGTGTCTTAGAGTTTGCCAATTTAGGTTAGGCTAGCTAGCCAATGAACCCTACAATCTGCTTGCCTCTGTTTCCCCAGGCTGGGATTACAAATGTGTGCTTTAAAAAGAGAGATTTGCCGGGCGGTGGTGGCGCACGCCTTTAATCCCAGCACTCGGGAGGCAGAGCCAGGCGGATCTCTGTGAGTTCGAGGCCAGCCTGGACTACCAAGTGAGTTCCAGGACAGGCGCAAAGCTACACAGAGAAACCCTGTCTCGAAAAACCAAAAAAAAAAAAAAAAAAAAAAAAAAAAAATAAAAAGAGAGATTTGCTTGCATATTTGGCTGTATTCCACGTGTGTGCCTGATGCCTCTGGAGGCCGGGAGAGGGCATCAGACCTCCTGGAACTGGAGTTTCAGAAGGCTGTGAACCACCATGTGAGTGCTGGGTCCCCTGCAAGAGCAGCAAGTGCTCTTAACCACCGAGCCATTTCTCCATCCACACCCCTTTTAACGTGGGTTCAAGGATCTCTAACTCAGGTCCTCATGCTTGCAAGCAAAGCGCTTTACCAAGTTTCTGTCTTTATTTAAGCCTCTTCTGGGAACTCCACTCTTACATGCTGCTCCTTGCTCTACTGTGGTGACTAATGTGCATCTCTAACTTGTATGTCTAAAATCAACCTTTCATTCTTTTTCTCCAGTCTTGCTCATTCTACACAAAACTAGGAGTTCCTTGCCTGCCTGCCTTCCTTTCTTCTGGTCCTCTTTATTTTATATTTTTAAAGCTGGGAACATTGTTTTCCCTGTCTGTGATCCCTGTCCTCTTGGATTGCTGTCACCCTGTCCTAACTCTGCTCCTGTTCACTGGTTTCTCTTAGTCTGCCTGTCCTGAGTTGTTGATGGGTCAGGACTCTCTGTTGGATGTCCCTCTCACACCAATGGCACATGCCCCTGACCATTCCTCAGCTGTTGACACTCACAGCAGATGGTGCCCAGACCTGCATCTTCAGCTGAGAAACATCCCGTCCCTCCGGTTCCTGTTGGGTCCTTTCACAGGTGCCCCCAGCTCTAGGCTGTGTCAAGTGCCCTGCCTCCCACACCTGACCCCTCTTTCATGAGTGCCTCCCCTACTTGGCATCACAGGACGCTACAAAGTCCTGGAGAACAGGACTGTGACCTGATGTCTAACAGAGTCGGGGGGCTACAGCTCAGGGACAGGTAGGCTGAGGGAACCACAGAGAACAGAGCAACCCAGGAGAATGGGAGCGGGGAGGTGGGGGCTGCCCTGGATCTACTCCATCCTTGTCACCTGCCACTTGATACTTGGCTTCCTGTTTTATTGGCAGCACCTCTGGAACTCGGCGTTCATTCACGTGTGTCCATGCCAAAGGTCACTGCGAGAATACCTGTCTAGATGCTGTCTGTTCACCTTGCTGTCTATTATTTGACCATGAACTTCTAGAGGCCAGGAACCCAGTGTGCGCTGGCCCTCACAGCTGCCGGAGAGAGGAGGGAGAGCTGAAGTGCCCTGTGCCATGCTCCTCCTCCCTTAGCCTGGACTCACACCCACACCTAATGACCAGAGCTGAAGAAACCCGGTCTCACATTGCAGGCATGCACACATGGAGCATGACCTCTGGATTTTGACTGTGCGTGATATGGAAGCTGCCTCAGCCACAGAAACTCACATAACTCATGAAGATCTTCTCCGTGGGCTTCAGGCGTCTCTGGACCTCACAGTCCACAGGGTGGATGCCAATGATGCCATCGTCAGAGAAGACATAGAACATGTTTCCCACGCTGAGGCCTGGGAGGAGTGAACACTGTGTGGTCATGAACTTCTAGCCACTGATAGGGGCACAGCAGCACGGTAGAGGGTGTAACATACTTTCCTGGTGGGGAGACAGCCCATCCACAATACTTCTTGATGCAGTTGGGACCGTGGAAGTGTCCTCAAGGCTGGGAACCAATCCATCCTATCACAGCTCTGCAGTACCCCCTTGCTGCTGAGCATCTGGAACCTAGTCCCCCGAAGATGCCCAGTCTGGGGAGCACCTGACAGAAATCTAGAGCTAATCCTGGGTGTCCCTTGCAGAGTCTATGAGGCTAGCTATGTGCCCGTGCCTCAGCGCTGCCCCCAGCATCTCTGTCTGAGGCATCATGCCAAAACACCTCTGTCATGAACGGCCCACCTGGCAAAACCTCGGGCTGAAACACGGACTCTGGGCGCAGCCTCCCCTGGGCTGCTTTGAAAGTCAGTCACCAGAAGAGTCAACATAAGATTGACAGCTTAATGTAGCCCACATGGGGCTTGTAGACACAGATAGCTACATTTCTGGCTGAGTGCAGTGCTCTCTCAGTGGGTGGGAAGGTGAGAGTCAATAGTCATTCAACACAGAATCAACCTCACAGGAGACCCAGCCTCTGGATCCCCCCCCCCCCCCCAGAAGGTTCTGTGGAAATCTAGTTTCTATTATGGGGCTCCAAAGAGCTCCCAGCTTCCTTTGCTGCTGTCCGCTCTCATCTTTCTCCTCTTAAGATTTGAGAGTGCCCTGGGGCCTGTGGTCCTTTCCTCTTGGCTTCTGTATTCGCCCCTCCCCCAGGGTGTGAATATCAGCAGAGAAGGGTATAGCATTTAGTCACTGAGGCGAGATGGGCTTTGGCTGATGCTTCATCTTTTAATCTGAATGCGGCACCTACCCGCCCTGGACTCTAAGGTGACTTCAGTGTGCCTTTGGTCCTTACAGTGCAGAGCAACCCCAGCAGACTTGTGTTCCCTTACACGTCTCCACTGTGAAAACCCGAGTCCCTCTGCAGCAACCTTGGCCTAGCACCGTACCATTGTTTAAAAGACACGGAGCTCAAGCTGAGTGCACGTGGCAGCCAGAGAGTGCACTAAGGGTCACAGCCAGCAACACTGCGGTTGGCCCCCACCCCTCACATGGACTGTGCCAGGCTCAGTGCCCAATGCTTAGGAGACTGAGCTGGGTCTATGCATGAGTGTGCCACATGAGTTTGCCTAGGAGCCCCTGACTCGGGTACATAGGCTCTGAAAGGTTGTTGGGGCAGGGAAAGGTGGCCCACGGTGGAACCAAGAACACATGTGATTACAGGCATGACACAGGACAGTCACACTCAGTACCTTCTTCCCGCCACAAGATGTTTGCTACTGTAGCAGCCGAGAAGCAGGAGAGCCATGACATGATAGCCGAAAGAGAAAGAAAAAAAGACAATGTCAGACCTTTGCTGCTGTGATTCCTTGGTTCACTCCATTGAGGGACATTCCAGTACTCGCCCAGCATTGGGAGACTCTGCATCTCTCGTTGGACCAGCAACAATATCAGTCCACGACGCTGGACCCAGGAGGACACTTCTGGGTCTCAGGATGCTTTTGCTTTCTAAATGAATCTTTAAAACTGGGTTTTGGGATCCTAGCAGCTAATCCCTACTCCCTGATTCCTAGGTCACTTCGAAGAAAGTCATTTTCAGTTAGGACTCTCCAAGGAAGAACATTCTTTCAATGATAAAGGCTTAGTTTGAAGTCTGAGGCAGAGGAACTGAATGCCATCGATGCCACAAAATCTACTTGCAGAACCACGGGAAGCAGTGGCTACAAGGGAGGGTGGGTGAAGACTCCTGAAGGAGAGGCCATGCTGCTCCTATTTGTGTACTAATCCAGTAGCACCCCCATACCAGACAGTCCTGAACCCCATTCCTGCCTGTTTCTTCCTATGCATGCATACCTATGATAAAGTTCAATTTATAAATTAAGCACTACAAAATTGACTTAATACAATAGAATAATTACAACACACTGATGAAAAAGTTACTAAAGGAGCTGGAGAAATGGCCTAATGGTTAAGAGCATATGTTCCTCCTCCAGAGGACCAGAGTTCAGTTCCCAGCATCCCACATCAGGCAGCTCATAACCACCTATAACTCCAGCTTCAAGGGATCTCGCCCCCTCTTCTGGCCTCTGTGGGGACGTACACATAAAAAAAAACTTAAGGGGTTCATTTCTGGAATTTCAGATCAAAGGAAGTAAAACTCTAGATGAGAGGGGACCACCGCCTGCCTTGAGAGCCTCCAGGCCACTAGGACGGAGCACCTGGGGGCATGAAGGCATTTGGAACCAAGTTTCCAGTCATCACACAGGAGGCAGGAGCAGAGCTGGGGTATTTGGGCTTCCTTCTGGTCCTGGGCTATGTGTCCTGACCAGAGACTTCAATCGTCTACATTTCCAGAGCTGTCTAGGTTGCCTGAGAAGGTCACCCTCTGTACCTAGCTTTGTGGACAGAGGAAATAGATTTATCCCAGCCTTCAGAGGCTCCCAGTTGGTGACTGTGGCCCTGGAGAGTTAATGTATTCCCTTGTCCCCCTAATACTCCCAAACAGCTCAGTGAGGATCTCAGAGCCAATAGTGGACTCACAGGTCTTCCTAGCCGAGTCCTCAATGAAAAGGGAGGAGATGTCTTCATCCACGCCCACTTCGTTCTTGGCAATGCAGGTATAGGCCCCCGTGTCTTCATAGCGAACACTGCCAATGTGGAGCTCACTGCCATTGGCTGTAGAAGGGATAGTGGCTGAGGGTGGCACTCTCAGGGGAACACCCTTTCACGTGCCCTCCCCACCACCTTCTCAGGATCTCTGAAGAGTGTTGAGGTAAAAACACAGTCCTTGGGTGTGGCTGGGGGGGGGCAGCCATCATTCATGGACTCTGCCCAGGACAGGCTGGCACTGCTGAAATACAGAGGATGCCCCGGGATCTGGCCAAAAAATAGCCTCTCAATGCCCATGAGACCTGTGTGCCAGTCACCACAGGCTCAGCCACGATTTTACCTCTCATTCCCTCCCTGGGATTGTTGTGCCATTCTTACCCAAGAGGGAGAGTTGTTTGGACATCTGGGCTGAGACATCCATGCCATTTTTCAGCCAAATGATCCTGGGCATGGGAATGCCCTCAGCATGGCATCGCAGGCTGGCCGCCACTCCAGGCTCTTGTGCCTGGGTCTCTGGATAAACACGGATGACTGGTGGCACTGTGGGTGAGAACAGCATTGGTAGGAGCAAACCCACACCCGGCCTTGGGCTGTAGCCAAACCCCGAGACCCCCGTCCCAGAGGGTGAAGCCAAGAGATGATGCTGGAGGCCTCTGAACCAGCTCTCAATGATGTCTTCAGCAACCCAAGTGTCGAGGGAAAAGGCTGTAAAATGGATCACAAGCTATAAACACATCCAGTGTGGGACTCTAATTCATGGCTTCCATTCTTGTTCTAAATATGATCAGAAAGACATCCAGATATTTAATGCTGTTCTGCTGCTGCATGTAAAGAGCAACAGCCACTGGAATTTATCTCTGAATGAATGAAATTCAGATGTATGATTCCTGTTATCGGAAAGCCATTGGATGGGGCCTTAATTTCTTGCAGGAAATGCTTCACGAAGCACTTAGGGGCACTGACTGGCAGGGCTGCTAATTACATCATGACTGTGGGGAAGCCCATTGATTTTCCAGTGGGTCATTTTTATTTCTTCACTCTCTAAGCCCTGGAACCAGTATGAAAGAACGATGTGTCCCTCCTTGGTCGGACAGTGACTCAGCTCTGGCCCATGGTAGTTGAGTTTCAGCTTGGGCATGCGACCTGACTCATGGCCTAGGTGAACACAGTGGATTGGTCCTTCTTACAAGGGCAGGCTGTAGGCAAAGGCTCTTGGAGAAGTGGAGATCATTGGGGGAGAGAGTCCCCCTCCTGGAAATAAAAGCATTATCACTTCCCATATTAACGAGGGCTCATGTTTATGAATACGTTTTACTCTACATGCTTTAAAACCAGGATTTGAGAGTTTATGTAAACAGACCTGAGTATTAAATCACACACCCTTCAGAAAGTGGGGGATGGATTCCTCTTGAAGTGGATAACTGTGTTTTCTTACCACTATCTGGAAGCTCCTTTGTCCATTACAAGGAGGAATCATGGTATTTGAGATGAGAGAATTTTCTCTGGATGAACAGAGAGCACTTGATACGTACATGGGAGGAGCCGACGGCACCAACAATGGAGTCTGAGGAAGACAGCATTCTGGTGATCCACGCTCGGTGGACAGAGGACAAAAGAGAAACTCTAGGCTCATTAGGAGCAATGGATCTGCCATTGCTATAGGAGACACTTCAGGGGTCTGTTTAGCATCTACTAACTCAGAGTTTCCAGGATTGCCCTGGCTGACCTCTGGGGTGAAGTTTGGAGGGGGCAGAATCCAAACTAAGCTCAGGGAGTCCCGAGAGCACGATGTCTGTGGCATCTCTCTCCCCGGTTCTCTTTGTCAAGGTTCTGGGAGGAGAGTCCTAGGCTATAGAAGAGTGGCCTTGTCCCAGATCAAGCCATCAAGGAGGTAAGGGGGGCCAGTTGAGACATGGGTGAGGACTGTTTTTAAGAACACAGGTGTTCTCTGACATCCTTGGTTCATATAGGAAAGGATGAGCTTTCCTCACACCTTCATTGGGCAGAGAGAGGAATGGGGTCCAAGTAGTGTGAACAGACTTGAGTAAGGAGGCTACAACCTTAGAGCACAGAGGTGGAGCTTGGCGGCTCAAAGCACTGAGGCTGATGGGTGAATAGAGCTCTAGAAAAACCAGGGTTCTGGTTGAGGACTGTCCAGGATCTGAACATTAGTGAGCTCAGATTCTTGTAAGATCTCCATCTATGCATAGCAGACAGCCTGGAAACCACAAAGCAAACCTAGAGAGAGCAGGAGTAAAATGGAGGACTCAACTCAAAAGCCAAGAGAGACTAATAAGTCTTTGAGCCTGTTTGTAAGAAGAGCAAGTTTGGTCAATGAAAAACTAGAGAAAGATTACAAAGGGGATTAACAATGTGAGAATGCTGTATTAAATTATAGGTAATAAAAACAAAGATCTCAATGAAATGGATCATTTAAAATGAACCTTTAGGGGCTGTAGAGTTGGCTCATACATACTTATGTATGTGCATATGTGTGTGTGCACGCACACACTCGCACATGTATATGAATAAGCTGTGAGTTTATCTTGCTTGGTCCTTGTTTTAGTTACTTTTCTACTGCTATGATGAGAATCATGACTAAGGCAACTTACAGAACAAAGCATTTCTTTGAGGCTCATCCTTCCCAAACAGCTCCACCAACTGGGACCCAGTAATCAGACATCTGAATCTAGAGGCTGTTCTCATTCAAACTACCACAGTCCCATGTAAATCAGAATCATAAATACACTGTTAACTGCTGAAGTCTCTCAGGCATTTCAAGAATGCCTAGAGAGACTGCTCAGTGGACAAAGTATTTGATGTGCAAGTGTGAGGACCTGGGTTCAGATCCATGCAGAAAGCTGGACTCAGTAGCATGCGTCTATAATCCCAGCTCTCCTAAGGCAAGATGGGAGGGAGAGACAAGAGAATTCCCAGATGCTCATGGGGCAGCATCAGGGAACAAGAGGCCTGCCTCAGGCAAGATGGAATGGAAGGAACAACACTTGAGGTTGTCCTCTGATCTACACGTGTGCTGAGGCATGTGTACATCCACCCTCACGTATAAACATGCAGACACACATACATAAAAAATAGCATAACATACTCTGAATATAATGTCTCCGTGTCTACTAGGAAAGCTATAATCCAAAGCCAAAGGTGGCCAAAATGAAAATTATTTGATTTTCTTAGAAAGCACCTAAAGAGCCTTTGAAAAGGACCCAAACCCCATTTCTTGGTGTGTGAGTCTCAAGAAAATAGGAACAAAATGATGTTTTCTTCCTACAATGAAGAATATGTCCATAAAAAGAAGGAACAGTACAATTCCTTTCAGGAAAAAGAAAAAGGAGAAAGTAAAGTCAGCAACATTAACTTTGAAGCTTACTGGTGTGGTCAAGGAAGGCAAGACACGGAGGACGTCCGTAATTAAAGGATGATGCCATGTTTCCAGCCCCTGTGACCAAACACTCAGCAGAAAGAACTTAAGGGACCTCAGCTCACCTTGGTGGGAAGGCATGGTGGTTGGAGAGGCTCTCTCTCTGGTGCAGCTGAGGCTCTTCACATTGTGACCAACCAGAACACAGAGAAGGTGGTCAGTTGAAGTTGAGTATCAACGTCAAAGCCTTGCACAGTGGGACCTATTTCTACTAGCCAAGACCCATCTTCTAAGGACTCTCCAGCCTTCAAAATAACACCACAAACTGAGGACCAAATGTTCAAGACACCCATGGGGGCATTTCAAAATGAAAAAGATTTAAATTTATATTTATTTAAATGTATGTGTCTGTTTGTCTGTATGTGCATGTAATAACCTCAGATGCCAGAAGAGAGCGTCAGGTCACTGGGAACTGGAATTACAGGAGGTTGTGAGCCACCTGCTGTGGGTTCTGGAGCCTTGGTCCTTAGGTAAATATTCTTAACCACTGAGCCATCTCTTCAGTCTCTTAGAGAGACATTTAAGATTGTACCATATAATAGAGAACAATGGTTGTTTTAGGTAGCTGTATTCTAGGACCCAAACCAAAAAAGATGATGATGATCACATGACTACAATAGAGCGCTAGTACCAAAACACACAAAACGAATAGTTTACCTAGAGATCAGCGCAGACCAGACAGACAACAGACTGGACCCAAGTGATGAAAACTATGAAATCTTACTGACAGCATAAGAAAGAGTAACAATTCAAGGGAGGTCATTGATTAGGAAGATCTCCCATTGCCACAAACAAGAGCTGACAAATTAACCCACAGACTTAATCTAATTTCAATTAAAACTGGTCCACTGGGGCTTGACAAAATAATTCTGAGTTTATCTAGAAAGGGAAAAAAAAAATTCAGTGCATGGCTGAGGAACCTGAGAAATGTCATTGTTCCTTGTCATTTTGCTACACCAAGATGTCACAGAGAGTTACAATACTGCGTGGGGGACCGAGGGGCTCCTCCTCTTTGAGCCTAGCACCTGACTGAAGACCTTGCTTGATGTTTACAAGCCTCTGTCAATTCCATATCGGGCAGTGTCAGGCATGATGCATGCAGTGGCAAGAGCCTTGGTCCCTTGCTGCGTGGTGGAGCTTTCTGTGTGGGAAAGGTGACTAAACCAGTTGCCAATGTGAGGGTCACTCCCGGGGGAGCCTTGGGGAGCAGATCCTAGCAGCTTCACTCTCCCCTCCTCCTACAGGAGCAACTAACCCGACCTCCAGATGTCTGTGGCGCCTGCTGCTTATTGGTGCAGAATTGGTCCAGGGAACGGGAGACCTGAGCAACGGGACCGGTCCCCTCCCTCAGTGGCCGGTACCAGCTCTGGAGACTGGCCTTGGCCTCTGCTCTGCTCTCCGACAGGAATGTGTGTATAGACTGAAGTTTTCACACCTGAGCAGGTATCATCTGTCTGAACACAGGTAATGCACATCCCCTTCCCTCCCCCGCTCCCCCCCCCTCCCCGCCCATGCCTGTGTGCACTGCTCTGAGATGGGAGCTTTTCCAGCCAATTTGGGACTAAATTTAACCTAAAATATGTGCCAGTGTTCTAGAACAAAAGGACACCTGACTGAAAGTCAAGGGTGTAGGATGACTCACCCAACAAAAATACATGCCTAAATTCAAGGCACAAAGTTCTCCATAGATGGGGTGGTGGTGGAGGTGAATGGGACTCCACAGATACATACACATGCCCTCTGACAGTCTGGAGGTCTCCTTGAGGGTGAGACACTCCCCTTGAGGGGAGCCTGAGAAGGACTGAAGAGGACTTGTTGCCCACACATCTAATGCCCCTTTCTCCCCAGCCTGCCTCAAACCTATGAGCTGAATACCGCTCACCAGGTTCTTTTGTCCTTTGTCCCCTGTAATGACATCATGTCATGTCACGTTGTCCTGCTGGGCCTATTCTCTTACATTTTCCCTTTGCCATCTGGAATTCTACAAAGTCTCTAGTGATGTTCCTTTACCTGTTTGTCCCTCTCCCCTGGAGACCCAGCTTTCTCCTGAGGACATTGCCTCTCTTGCAGCTTCCTGGGCAACTCCTACTCAGCCCTCCCACCC